CCTTCTCTGCACTGACCTTTTCCTCATTAGTCACATGACCTGAAATTAACACAGTGTGTACTGAGATCAGTTAGGGGATAGTTTAGCTGTGTATACCAAGAACGCAAAGAACAGTTGCTTTAAAAATGTGGAGGTTTGGGCCCGCGGGTAGCGTGGAAGTTAAGGTTCTCGATCCTACATGGCCAGCTCCATCTTGAGTCCCAGACTCGGCGGCTTGAGAATCACACCGGGCGCCTGTGCACGTATGCCCAAAATCTCAAGAGGATAATGGAGGAGAAGGGGTTGAAGCATGGCCACCGCCTTTGTGTGTGTGTGGAAGGGGTGATTTCTCGCTTTCCCCCTCACTGTCTCTCTGTCTCTGTCCGGCAAACACACATGCCCTATAGCAAAAACTACGCAGAGAGAGAGAGAGAGAGAGAGAAGCTAGTTTTTCTCTCACATAAAATAAAACTAGCGCTAAGGTGTCCAGAACTGGCATGGTGGCTCTGTGGTCACCAGGAGCCCAGACACCATCTTTAATGTGTAGCTCCCATATTAGACTGATCTCAGTGCTAGATGGCTGCTCTTGTTCCAGCCCTTGGGGCCATATTCCAGGCAGAAAGGAGGCAAAGTTGGGAAGGCAGTGGAGTGCCCCTGAGCTGAGGCAGCCCCCTTACAGAACTTTCCCAGGTGTTCTGCCCATGTTCAAGATATAAGGGAGGATACACAGTGTAGACTTCCAGATGGATACCTTGATCCCGTGTGATGGACACGGGGCAGGCCACAGTTATCTAATATGCTTATCTGAAATTTTTAACATGTAGGCTCTGGGGCCAAAAGACTCTGTTCTGCGTCCCAGGCCCCGTGGCTTGAAATTCATGCCAGACATGTGTGCAAGCATTCCCAAGATCTCTGGAGGAGAAGGGATTGCAGTATGACCATCTGTGGGTGGGGGAGGGGTGGATTTCTCAGTTTCCCTTACTGTCTCTGTCTCTTTGTTTGGTAAGCACACACAGCCTAAAGCGAAAACCTCTAAAAAAAAAAACAAAAAAAGAAAAAAAAATATATATATATGTGTGTGTGTGTGTGTGTGTGTGAAAAAATATATATATATGTCTGGGAGTAATTTCTCACTTTCTGTCTCTCTGCTTCTGTCTCTCCATCAAGCACATGAACCCTATAGCAAAAATCTCTCTAAAACAAAATTAATTAATTAATTAATGGCGATTAATGAAATTATAAAAAAGAAAAAAGGAACCAGCCTTGGTAGGGGAACTGGTGGGTCATTTTGGCAAAAGCACTAGACGGAGATCAGGAAACGTGGGCCTCTAGTCTTTGCTACACCATGGACTGGCTTCCTCCGTTTCTCTCCCAAACATGAGCGCAGTGACCCTTGTGTCATCCACACGCATGGCTTCATCTCGCCATGCTGACTTCTCTTCTTATCACCCGCGTACTACCCTGCCCCACTCCTGCTGCTCCTTCTGCTACCTACTCGGTTTAAGCCAAAGTCACCCCTTTCTCTTGCTGAGCCCTTAACTCGGTCCCCTGGCTCCTTCCTCCCCATCCTTCAGTTTGCCTTCACACCGAGATAAAGTGATGGGTTATTTTGTTTTGTTTTTGAGAGATTTTTGCTATAAGGCACATGTGCTCGCCAGAGAGACAAAAGAGAAAGTGAGAAATCACTCCCCAGGGGCGATGGCCACACCACAGTCCCTTCACCTCTAGTTACCTCTTGGGATTTTGGGCACGCACACACATGCCCAGCATTTTAAGCCACCAGTTCTGGGACTGAAACCATGGTCTGCGATGTGGGGATCAAGCCACGTTACCACTATGCCACGTGCCGGCCCCAGTAAAGTGATGTTTTCCAAACACAGGTCTGAGTCAGCCACTCTTCTGTTGTTGGCATTTTAATGGCCTCCACTCCCTCAGGTTGAGTCTGGCTTCTGTGTTCTGCCCCAGCCTCCTCCATTCTCTGACTCCCTCTGTGTCCCCACTCCCAGCCTGCTGTTGTCTGTGACATCTCCTCTGTGAGATGTGCTGCCCCTGGAGGTAACTCACCCTGTACTGAGAATGTGCCTCTCACAAATCCCCCAGCTCCTGCTTCTGGCCTACTGCTCAGCCTCCTCCTCCGAGAAGCCTTCCCTAGCCCCCTCACATGGGTCTCCCTCTCATCCAGTACACTGCTCCCTCCCTTTCCAGATCGTAGTTCACGGCTTTCTCTCCAGATCTGTCCCCGCACTGGACTATGAGCTTTCTGCGGGCAGGACTCTGGTCTGAAAGTCTCACCCAAGCACAGTGCCTGGCACAGCGCTCCCTGGATGGCAGGACCTGCAGCCGCCCCTCCAGGGCTCCTCCAGGGATTGCTGCATTTCCCATTCAGTCAACACCTGTCCACGGGGTGCTGTAGGAAAGGCCCTGCCCCGTCCCGCCGACTGTGCTGCAGAGCCATTTGCTTTGCAGTTCGCAGGGCCCAGTTCCTTCTCTTGTCACTCAGCAGTGGCCCCCTGTGCTCTGTCGTCTGCCAGGACTGTGCGGGCCCCAGCCACACAGATGGACAGTGCACCAGGCCTCCCTTCGAGGGGGCCCCCAGAGCAGCAGCAGGGATGGAGAAGGGAACAGCGGTGTGAACTGGAGCACACCAGGTCTTGCAGGCTGTCGGGAAAGACACACAGATGGCCCGGACTGGCTGCAGGGAGAGCAGCCTCTGCTAGCTCACTGCCTGGGCAGCGGGCCTGTGGGTGTAGACATTCAGAAGGAACAGAGCCGCCCTGTCAGCACATGCAGGAAGCCGGTCACACCTCCATCTTCTGCCACACAGGTCTCTCCCCGCCATGTCTGTAAGCCATGAATCTTTGCCAGAGTCCCACCGGCTGCTACAGGGATGCTCGCACCTGCAGGGGCCACATTTTTACTCCGAGACAGTAAAGATCACCTTGGAGTATCCAGGCCTTCATTGTACAGAGCAGGACGCTGAGACCAGAGGGAAGAAGTGGAGAGTGTCGCATGGAAGGTGGCAGAGCCGGGACTGCAGCCCTGGGTCTTTCCCGGCACCACCCTCTCTTCCAGAGTGCTGGAAATCAACCACACGGGTGGACACTGGGCCATTCAGAGGCCACATGGCTGTTCCCAGAGGTGTCCAAGGCGGAGCATGGAGACGTGAGCTGTGCCTTCAGTCACAGCAGCTGGGAGCAGGAAGGAGCCCAGTGCAGCCCCCATCTGACTCGTACCCTGCTTTTCTACCCTCACTTTCTGCTCCTCACAGAAACAATTTGTGTTTCGGGGAGAAGATCTGACGTAGCCCCAGGTTATGGCTATAGCAGCAGCTGGGGCAGAGGGAGCATTTGGACACTAGCAGAGACACTTAGTTAAAAAAGAACACTTACGAGAATCTGAGGAAGGACATTCAAGAGAAAAATAGAGAGGCAAGGCATTTGTGGGACAAAGAAATGGGTTATTACCTGTTGAGGGATAACTTTATAGTATTGTCAACTGAACCGGTGCAAAATGCACACATGCTGGAATTTCCACTTTGCAAGCTATGTAACATGATTGAATGTATAAAAGAAATAATAATTAAAAATAATTTTTTTTAAAAATGGAAGGAAAAAAAAAAGGACACTTCCAAAGGAAGGAGCAGGGAAGGCGGGCGCTCCACAGGAGCAGACGCGGCCTTGTTCGCCTTGCCCCCATGCAAGGCCCTTTCCGCCCAGCACGGACAGAACGCCCTTCTGCTCTGTGCTGCCAGTCTTCCCCGGTGGGAGAACCAGCTTCCAAGGAAAGAAATCCTGTTAGGTGAGGACCGTGTTGCACGTGTCTGGACGGCCAGGGACTGTTGGGTGGCCTCAGCTGGCTCAGGACAGCCCTAGAAACCAGGGCTGTGGCTACCTTCCCACAGTGAGGAGGTGGGCGTGGGTGGTGAAGGGAGCTAGCACAGGCAGATCTGGGGAGCATGTAGATTCCAGAAGGGAGCAGCCCCATGATGGAAGAGGCCACAATTAGGGGTTAGAGACACTCTGCTCACAGCTGGTAGAGTCCCACAGTTCTTTTCCATTTATTTATTTTGTTTGTTTTGTTTTAAGGAAAAGATTTTTGCTTTAGGTCATGCATGCTTGCCAGAGAGACAGAAAGTGAGAAATCACCCCCCAGCATGATTGTGGCCATGCTGCAATCTCTTCTCCCTTCTCCTCTTAGAATATTTTTCTTTTGGAGGGGGAGGTTTTTGCTATAGGGCGCGTGCACTCGCCAGACAGACAGAGAGAGACAGAGAGACAGAAAGCGAGAAATCACCCCCCAGCATGATTGTGGCCATGCTGCAATCTCTTCTCCCTTCTCCTCTTAGAATATTTTTCTTTTGGAGGGGGAGGTTTTTGCTATAGGGCGCGTGCACTCGCCAGACAGACAGAGAGAGACAGAGAGACAGAAAGCGAAAAATCCCCCCCCAGGGGGGATGGCCATGCCACAATCCCTTCTCTTCCATTCTCCTCGCAGGATCTTGGGCACACACGCACACGCGCCCGGCCTGAGTTTTAAGCCACCGGGTCCAGGACGTGAACCGCTGTCGACTACATGGGAGCCCAGCAACATAGCCTTTATGCTCACTGCTGGTCCCTCCTCTCAGGATTTTGGGCACACACACACACACATACATGCGCCCAGAGTGAATTTTAAGCACTGGATCTGGGACTCAAACTCTGGTCCACTCTGTGGGAGTCCAGAGTTGTAATAACTATTACACCATCTACTGGTCTCACTTTTTTTTTTAAGTTTAGTTATTTTCTCTCTTCCATGAGGGAGAGATGCCTACAGCAGGCCCTCACACACGTCCACCCCTTATCCCTAACCTTCCAGGTCATCGGGATCGTCAGCACTGTCACCCAGTGCATTTCAGGTCACCTCGGGACCTGACCCATGGTCAGCCTTGTGACTTGCAGCACTGCCAGTCAGTGAGCTACTGCCTGAACTATTGAGACTCGGCCTCCCACACTTCCTGACCTGTGTCTTTTCTCTGCCTTCAGGTTTATATTGGCCAACTGTATTCAACTGACAAGCTTATCATTGAGAATCAAGAGAAGCCCAAGACCTAGGGAGCTGGGGACCAGCCACCAGCGGCAGCCGGGGACCACCTTCCGCATCCGTTCTGTGCTGGGGATGAGGCCTCCCAACACCAGCTTAAAGTAGCCTCTTGCTCTGCCTGCCCTGGAGAAGCTGATAAACTGAGTCGTGTTTGTATCGTCCTGCGGCCTGCCTGGGAAGGAAGGCTGTCTCCTCAGTCCAAGTGTTAGAAGGAAGAGTTGGAGCTCACTCATAATAATGCTATGTATTATTGTGTCTCCTCTCCACCCTGCCTTATTTTGTATCCCATCGCCACTGTATAGAGCATTTCCAGACTTTGTTTCTTGCTCCTTGACAATAAACAGAATTGTCTCCCGAAGCCTTTCACACCAGGTAAACCCGTCCTGACTAACACACTTTCTTGGTGATGGAGGGTCTACAGAAGAGGTGGACGGTGGGGGGTGAGGGCAGCAATAGGGAGCTGAGAGCTCCCTCTGTGAAGGCAAATCCAAGCACCAGGTGAGATGTGGGGAGCAGCAGAGAGTAGGGTAGGGCAGAAGAGGTAGAGGGGTCACCTGCAAGTCACCTCAGTGCAACAGCGAAGATGGTAGGCATGTGGGCAGACACTGGAGGTGGCCACGGCTGTGATCTGGGGATCAGCAACATCAGCCCCTCCTGGGAACTTGTTAGCAATGCAGAACCTTGGGACGAGCAGTTGACGTAATGACTATGTTGCTGGGCTCCCATGTAGTCGACCACGGTTCGAGTCCCAGACCTGGTGGCTTAAACTCACACTGGGCGCATGTGCGTGTGTGCCCAAGATCCCGAGAGGAGAATGGAGGAGAAGGGATTGCGGCATGGCTGTCCCCCTGAGGGGGTGATTTCGTGCTTTCTGTCTCTCTGGTTCTCTCAGGACCTCAAGCACCCCCCATGTGTATCAGAGCCTTCAGCCCAGCAGCACCCCCAGGTGGCTCCCAAGCACACTAAAGTTTGAGACATGTTCCCTGACACGAGTGCCCAAACCGGACTGGACATCAGAATCAGCTGGAGAGTTTTTTAATAAGAGAAATCTCTCAGCACTTCCCTCCCCATGGATTCTGACTCAGGGAAGGGTGAGGCACAATAATTTATAAATACTTTCTTTTCTTTTCTTTTTCTTTCAGTTTACTATAGGAGTGTGCACTTGCCAGAGAGAAATAGACAGGGAGGGGGAAATTGATAAATCAGCCCCCAGGGGTCAATGTCAGGATTTGGGGGTATGCACACACAGGCTCCTAGCATGATTTTCAAGCCTCTGAGTCTAAGACTTGAACCACACACTCTGTCATGTAGGACCAGCCACCTTAACCTCCCTGCCACCTGCTGACCCCTAATTCATAAGTATTTTTAAAGCTCTCTCAGGGGTCCTAACGTTTAGCCAGTTCGGGGACGCTGCCTCCACTTTTTGAGTACGTTATGAATAGCAGAGATATTATTGGCATGCTTTATCCTTGGAAACACATTTCTTCCAAACATAGAGAGCATACATTAAAGAACTTCCTTGAGGGACCAGTAGGTGGTGTGGTGGTTAAGGCACTGGACTCTCCCACATGGCCAACCATGGTTTGAGTCCCAGATCTCTGTGTGGGTGTGTGTGTGTGTCTGGTAAAATTAAATAAAATTAAATAATTATTTAAAAAGAAAGATTTACTTGAAGCCAGCCCTACAGCCTTGTTCAGGGAGCTGGATCCCACACAGTTGACTCTGAGGTTTGAGTGCCAGACCTGGCGGCTTGAGAAAACACACTAGGTGCCAGCCTGTGGCATGCTAGGTAAAGCAGCTGGACCCCACATGGTCAGTTGCATGGTTCGAGTCCCGGACAATATGACGTGAGAAGCACACAGGACATGCGTGCATTCCCTAAGTGAGGGAGAAATAGAGGAGAAGGGATTGTGGTGTGACTGTCCTCCGTGGGGGAGTGCTTTCTCCTCTCCACGTTTCTTTCTCTGAAGTGCCCTTTGGTAAAACTGAAAGAAAGAAAGGGAAGGGGAGGGAAAACACTGGACCTGTGTGTGTGTTTGTGTGTGTGTGTGTGTGTGTGTGTGTGTGTGTGTGCGCGCGCGC